AGTAGTTCCCCCCTTCCTCCAACTCTCGAACGCTCATTCACTCAAGACCCACACGACGCCCCGCATTTGAACGCCCTCCGGAGACTCAGAAGCTCCTCGAGAGAGAGTGCCGCGTTAGGGGGCGCGTTTCTTGCGAGGCGCCACTGAGCATGCGCTTAACTCTCCCCTTCTAGCAACCGCCTTGGAGTCATGTGCTTACAGATGGATGTATCTGGAGAGGTGTGCGTGCCTGCGCGCACCCCAAGGTTTAGCCCGGGGAATAAAACTTTGTTGGTCTTAAAGGTGCCCCTGGAGTCTCAGACTTTGTTCTGCTGCTTCAGGCCAACACGGCTGCCCACCTGAATGTATCTTGTGCTGGGACAGTTTGTTGCGGCGGCGGGTCAGCTTGGCCGGACTCTTCCACAGCAAATGCCGGTTCCACAGTGGCAGTAACATACGGGAAGAGTAAAAAGGAAAAGCAAACAAACCAAGGCTTGGAGATTTCTGTAAGGGAAAAAAAAATCTAAGGTTTACCTCGATGCAAGGTTTGTGAAGTTACGCCCCCCGGTAAGAACGGGGAAGAAGTCCTACAGAACCGTTCATAGCGCTGCTCGAGGAGCAAAACTTCTGCGCCTTTTATCAGGTGCCCGGCCAGGCCAAGAAGCATGTGGCTCCTTTCTGCGGTTGATGGCGGCCGTTGAGCAGTTGTTAGAAGCGAAGCGCTATTTAAAAGGAACAGAAAGCCCGAGGCCTCTTTGTATCCATCCCATTTTTCCCGGCAGCAGCTGAGCGGCGTGGCGCTTTCTTCTGAAACGTTTCAGATCCGTTTCTTTGCAGATCCTTTTCCCCGCACTACAACCTGACACGATGAAAAAGCTCAGTTGGCCCCCTCTTCTCTTCGACTAGCATCCTCTTTCGTTAACATTTAGGTTTCCTACCAAGGCATCCCATCTTTAGCTCAAACCTGCAATATGGGACTTAGATTAAGATGGGCCAGCCAACAGCACTCACTTCAGTCAGACTATTCACCAGTCGAAGATAAATGCCATGGATACAGACTGTGGAGCCTAGGACTGAGTAAGTAAGCCTATTTTTTTTTAAACTCACAGAACAAACTATGCTGTGCGATTAACAATAATGGATCTTCCATGTGGCATGGACTTCTGCCTGGATCTAAGGGGAGATGGGAGTCAGATCATTATCCTGCCATTAATAGGGTTGCCAGCATCCAGGTGGGGCCTGGAGACCTCCCCTGGAGAAAATGGCTGCTTTGAAGGGTGGACTCTATGGCATTGTACTATGCTGAGGTCCCTTCTTATATGCTCTGTCTTCTTGGTGCTTGGGGGGGTAACAGTGGGAGGGCTTCTAATGTCCTGGCCCCACTGCTGGACCTCCTGATGGCACTGGTATTTCTGGCCACTGTGTGACACAGAGTGTTGGACTGGATGGGCCTTTGGCCTGATCCAACATTGGCGTCTCTTATGTTCTTATGTTCTCCCCTCCTCAAACCCTGCCCTCTCCCGGATCCACCCCCAAAAGTCTCCAGGTATTTTCCAACCCAGACCTGGCAACCCTAGCCATGAAGCAAGTTGTTTCTGATTACTTATAGAGACCCTGTGAATTAGCAGCCTCCAAAATGTCCTTGTTGTTGTTTTTGGTCAGTCGCACAGTCGAGTCCGACTCTTTGCGACTCTATGGACCGTATCACACCAGGCCCTTCTGTCCTCCCTCATCCTCTGGAGTTTGCTCAACTTCAAAATGTCCTATCATTACATAAAATAATTTAAAAGAGCCCTGCTGGATCAGACCAGTGGTCCATCTGGTCCAACATCCTGTCTCACACAGTGACCAGCCAGTTACTGTGGCGGGCTAACGGCGTAGAAGCTGAAGATTTACCTTGATGTTGTCTCAGATTTACTGCCGCTCAATGTGGAGGTTCGCTTTAGTCACAATGGCTAGTAGCCACTGACAAACCTATCCACCATGAAATCTGTCTAATCCCATTTTAAAGCTGTCTATGCTTGTAGCCATCACTACATCATCTGGCAGTAAATTCCACATTGTAATCACTTCCTATGCAAAGTATTTCCTTTTGTCTGTCCTGAATCTACTGCCCATCAGCTTCAATGGATGCTCTCAAGTTCTAGTATTTTGGGAGAGGGAGAAAAATGTCTCTTTGTCAACTCTTTCCACCCCATGCGTAATTATATAAACCTCTATAATGTTTCCCCTTAGTTGTTTCTTTTCTAAACTGAAAAGTCCTAGACTCTTCAGCCTTTCTTCATACGGAAGGTGCTCCAACCCCCAATCATCTTGGTTGCCCTCTTCTGTACTTTTCCTAAGACTGTGCAATGTCTGTTTTGAGATATAGTGACCAGAACTGCACACAGTAATTCAAATGAGGCTGCACCATAGATCTATACAGGAACATTATAATATCAGCCATTATATTTTCAGTCACTTCCTAATAATTCCCAGCATCGAGTTTGCCTTTTTCATTGCTGCAACACACCGGGTTTAGTTACACTTTCATTGAGCTATCTACTACAACCCAAAGATGTTTTCCCCTTTCAGTCTCAGCAAGTTCAGACCCCATAAACTGGTATTTGAAGTTGAGATTTTTTCGTTCCAATGTGCATCATCTTACACTTACCAACACTGAACTTCATGTGCCACATTGTTGCCCACACACCCAATTTGTGGAGACCCTTCTGGAAAGCTTTACAGTCATCCTTGGTTTTCACTATCCAGAATAATTTTGTGTCATTTGCAAACTTGGCCACTACACTACTCACCGCCAGATCCAGGTTGTTTATGAACAAATTTAATAGTACTGGCCCCAGTACCAAGCCTTGTGGTACCCCACTGCTTACTTCCCTCCATTGTGAGAAATGGTCATTTATTCCTACTCTTTGCTTCCTGACATTTAACCAATTTTAAATGCAGAAGAAAACCTGTTCAATATTCTTTAACTCCTGAGTGAAAGGAGTCTTTGGTGAGAGACCTTGTCAAAAGCCCTCAGAAAGCGCAAATATATGATTTCTACTGAGTCACCATGGTCTACATGCTTGTTTACTTTCTTAAAGAACTCCGAAAGACTGGTGAGGCAGGACTTTCCTTTGCAGATGGCATGCTAATTTCCCCTCAGCCAGCTTTGTTCCTCTACATGCCTGATAATTCTATAATTGATTACATTTTTTCTAATTTGCCTGGGACAAGCGTTAAGCTAACTGGCCTGTAATTTCCTGGTTCCCCTCTAGAATCCTTTGTAAAGTTCAGTGTAAGATTTGCTACCCTCCAGCCTTCTGGTACAGCAGCTGAATTTAGCAAAAAGCTACATATATGGGTTAGTAGATCAACAATCTCAGATTTGAGTTCCCTAAGAACTCTCAGGTGTATGTACTAAAACCTGCAAACTTACTGGTTTTTCATTTCCCTAGTGACTCTAGAACTTCATCTCTCATCACCTTGAATTGACTCAGTTCTTCAGACACCCTTCCTGAAAATAGTGGCTATGGCATGGGTACATGTCCCACACTTTCCATGGTGAACACAGAAGCAAAAAATTGAGCTTCTCTGCCATATCTCCGGCTTCCTTTAGCAATCCCTTTATTCCTGGGTCATCCAAAGGCCCATCTGCTTATCTGGCTGGTTTCCTGCTATGGATATATTTAAAGAAATGTTTATCGTTTGTCTTTTAGCAATCTCCTCCTCAAAATCTCTTTTTGCATGCCTAATTATTGACTTACATTTCTTTTGCCAGAGGCTGTGGTCCCTTCTGTTCAGTTCTTTGGGGGAGACCTTCATTTTCTACCTATCACTGAGCCACAGCTCCACTGTGTAAATGGAAATCCAAGACAAGTAGCATGAGAGCTATTTCCAATTAGTTTCTTGTGGAAGTGTTGTGTGGGATCCAACCCAGGGTTGTGTTATTTTGCATGGTCTTAACGTTTTTACATATGGCTTTTGTTTTGTTTTCTCAGGGTTGGCAATATCTAATTGTGTACACATGAAGCTACCTAATACTGAATCAGACAGTGGTTTATTAAAGTCAGTATTCAATCTGACAGTTGCTCTCCAGGGCCTCAGGTAATGAGCTTTCGTATCTCTTTCAATATGATTCTTTTACTGGAGGTACCAAGGATTGAACCAGAGACAATGTACATTCTCTACTGATGAGCCACAGCCCCCTTTTCCTTTACCTTCTTGATTGCTGATGATCCTGGAATGTGTCTGCTTTAAATTTCAGGTTAAATTTGGATTAAGGACATTATTTATTGTAAAATAACATTTGTAGATTTTTGTATTGAAAAACCCTGTGAGAATGATGTTGGGTGTTATGTATAAATAGCAGGGGTCATTTCCTGCAGGAGCGCACAGGAGCAGAGCTCTGTCAGTAAAGGGCCCAGGGGGTGGGCACATGCAACCCCCTGCTCCCAGCAGCCCTCAGTCAGAGCAAGAAGCAGCCAGGTAAGCTGCAGAGCCCCCCCCAAAAAAACAGTCCAGTGGCACCTTTAAGACCACGTTTTATTCAGGTACAAGCTCTCCCTCCTCTGCGAGGGCAGATCTGCACGTGCCCCCCCCCCCAATAGCTAGGAATCCAAAACAGTCCAGTGGAGCCTGAGCGGTGGGTGTTGCCTTCTGACACACTTCCGGTGATGTCAGGGGTGTGTGGCACATGCAAATAAGTTACGCTAATGAGTTATGCTAATGAGCTCCTGCACCTCTGTCTACGAAAGGACCCCTGATAAATAGTTACCTGAACTTTGCGCTTAGAATTTATATCACTGAACCATCATAAACAGTAAGTTTCATTTCATAATTGTCCACATCATAAAACTCCCCAAGCTGCTATCTAAGAACATATGCTCCTGAGTACTTTGAGTGAGATTTTGACCACATTAAATAGAGTGTGACCTGACTTCCCCCATTCAGGTCGAAGCAACTCCACATTGTGCTTCTTTTTAAAAATATTGGGCTTTTTGTTTTTCATTTGTTTTTTTTAAAAATGTACATTTATAACATATTAAATTTTATTCCAAGGTATAAGAAACTTAAAATAATTTCACACAGGCAATCACAGTTTCATAAATTATACAGAAATTATACAATATGCATGGACAAGAAAAAAACAACACAACCATTCATGGAATCACATTGCCCAAAAGGGTATTCAGTGTTATGGCAAGTAAAAATTCTGAAAATTCACAGTTAATTTGTAGTTCAAAGATGCAGAATATTGCACATCATAAAATTGTGAATGCTAAACAGCAGCTTTAGAGTTCTCTTCACAAACATTGGTCATGCAATACTAGAATGAATACAAAATGGCATCATATACCATAGTAAACAGTTACTCACAATGTCAATCAAGTTTTAAATACAGTAGCAAAAAGCTGTTAAGTTCTTTCAGTGTAAATCTTACTTAAAATTATACAGCTGAACACTTTGTAAAACAAAAAATATATAAAATGTGTGTTTGCCACATTACTTTATTACCACCCTCAGTGATCTTCCTTGTCTCTTCCTTTCTTTTCCTTTTCATCCTGCAGGGCACTGCCAAGCTTCTTGATAAAAACAGACAGAACCTTATCCAGAGGGTCCATGACTCCTCGTTGAAGCCATTTAGGAATTGTTGTTCTTGCATGATGAAAACCCAGCTTTTGAAGGATATAATCAACGCCTACTGGATCTATCTTTCTTCCAGTCCAAGAGATTAATCTAAATTTAAAACACGTTGCTCATGTCAGTATTTGAATAAGTATATGTCATACCATTTTAGAAATGATAAATGTTCTTCTAGGCCAATTTAAGCCTTTTACTACATTCTATATCAGTAATATTTTAGGTGTCTTTTGGGTAAGAAGGAGCACATACAGAATGACTAAGCCCTGACCTGGATGGCCCAGGCTAGCCTGATTTCATCAGATCTCAGAAGCTCAGCAGGGTCAGCCCTGGTTAGTATTTGGATGGGAGACCAAGAAGGAAATCCAGGGTTGCAATGCAAAGGCAGGTAACAGCAAACCACCTCTAAACATCTCTTGCCTTGAAAACCCTATGGGATGGCCATAAGTCAACTACGATTTGACAGCAACTCCCCTTCTCTAAGGTAATATTCATTCCATGTTATGTCTGCACAGACAGAACGACAGGAAAGTGAATAAACAGTGTCTCCTCTCCGCAGCTGGCCTGTGCTTGTGCTGTTCCATTTGTGCTCGCACAGAAGTCACAAAGATGAACAAAAAAAGTATTAAGCCACCTGAATTAAGCCAAAGTAGTTTGATTTTAAGTAGATCTGCACTTCCTAAGGAAATGCCTTTTTTGGAGTATTTTTGTTTTGTTTTATTTAAACATTTCAGTTTATTTCCCAGTCCTCTTGTTCAGTCACCAAAACTAGACCACAGCATTTTGTTTTCTTGACAGGACTAGCTGTTATCATATGCTTTTTCTCATGGAGAATATTACAGAATTTGTTGCTGTTTTCTGAGCACAACTATTGGATTGGGACCAGTGTTCCCTCTAAGCTGAGTTGGTGTGAGCTAGCTCATGGTTTTTTAGCCTCCAGCTCACACATTTTTGTCTCGGCTCAGGAAGGGATGGCTCCAGGGCAAACTAATTGATGCAGCAGCCAAATTGCTGGCTCACAACTTTAATGCCAGGAGCTCAGAAAGTAGGATTTTTGCTCACAAGACTCCACAGCTTAGAGGGAACATTGATTGGGACAAGTGGTTCTTGCAAGTAAAGGAAAAAATTCTGCTAACAAAACGTCATGCATTTCCCATGTAATAAACATAGGCCTTCAACTCTGGATTAGTACTCAGAGCTATCACCAGATGGTGACAAACTGCGTATGCGTATATATTTTTATAATGTGATGAAGAAACTCGATTCACTACAGAACAGTGTCTAAATATATTTTCATAATACAACATCACGGTTGTTTTTGTTATTGGTTGCATCCTTCCCGTGATCTCTGTTGTTTCTACAATAATTAGTTAATGACAGCAAGACAGAAGAAAATTAAAACATGTACCTTAGAATGGCTAAGAAAAAGAATATGGTATCTATATCTTTCACTATTTCATTTTCTGTATCCAGAATCTAACTATGAAATTCTTTTAAATATTCTCTGCCTTTTTCCAATAAACATTTAAATTTCTGGATCCCATGATGAGATGTCTTAGTCTGTATGTGGATTGACCTTATAATAGCAGATACAGAATTGAAATAAATGCAATACATGTATTCACATATTTAAGGACATAAGAACAAGTCCAACACACTGTGTCACACAATGACCAAAAACCAGCTGCCATCAGGACATCCACCAGCAGGGCCAGAACTCCAGAAGCCCTCCCACTGTTGCCCCCCAAGCACCAAGAATACAGAGCATCACTGCCCCAAACATAGTGTTCCATCTATACCTTGTGGCTAATAGCCACTCATGGACCACGGAGCTGCGGAGGATGAAATGGGAGCTAAGATGGATAGAGTGAAGGTGGTGGCGTTCTCGTGATGAAGTGTCACGAACATCTTATAGGACATTTATGAAGGCCTGAGATGGCAGTAAAGGCCACAAAGAAGGATTTCTATGCAGCCTCCATTGCATCTGTGAGCTTGTGCCCAGCCCAATTGTTTATAGAGTTATTTGGTCTATTATGACTCTGCCACAGGGCAGACCAAACAGTAGGGAATTGGCTATTGGCTGTGAGGCACTTGTGAGCTATTTTGCAGATAAGATTGTGACACTCCACCAGGACCTCCTGGCTACACTTGAGACAGTAAAGGAACTGGAAGCCCCTTGTCCATCTTCTGGTCCGGTACTGGACCACTTTGATCGATTCTCCCAGGAGGAAGTTGACAGGCTCCTGGCAGCGGTGAGACCTACGACCTGCCTCCCTTCCTGGCTAGTTAAATCTTGCAGGGAGACCATTCGGGCTCCTCTGGGAGTAATTATCAACTTGTCCCTCTACTGGGACTTTCCCAGAGGCTTTGAAGGAGGCAGTGGTTTGTCCGCTCTTGAAAAAGCCATCTCTGGATCCGATGGTCCTGACCAACTACAGCCCAGTATCGAACTTACCGTTCCTAGGTAAGGTGGTTGAGAGAGCAGTGGCTGAACAACTCCAGGCTTTCCTGGATGACGCTTCCATCCTTGACTCCTTCCAGTCTGGCTTCCGCCCCGGCTACAGGATGGAGACAGCTCTGGTTGCCCTCACAGATGACCTCCATAAATCTGAACCAAGGTGGGTCAGCGCTGTTGTTGTTATTAGACCTAACGGCAGCATCTGACTCGGTCAACTACGATCTTATGACCCACCACCTTGCCAATGTAGGAGTTCAGGGAACTGCCTTGAAATGGTTTTCCTCCTTTCTCCATAGTTGGGGACAGAGGGTGGTGCTTGGTGAGAGGGTCTTCCTGCTGTACCCGCTAGAATATGGAGTGGCGCAGGGGGTGATCCTCTCACCAATGTTGTTTAACATCTATATGCGCCCCCTTGCCCAGTTAGTCCGGAGTTATGGACTGGGCTGTCACCAATATGCTGATGACACCCAGCTCTATCTGTTAACAGACAGCCATCTGTCTTCTATTCCCAGAAAGCTGGGTGAGACGCTGGAAGCTGTGGCTGGATGGTTGCGGCAGAGTCGGTTGATGTTAAATCCATCGAAGACGGAGATCCTGTACCTGGGTTGAGGGGACATGGAAGTGGGCACCAGGCTCCCCACACTTTGGTGCTGGCCCAGACAGTGAGGAGCCTGGGAGTAACACTGGATGCCGCATTGTCCATGGAGGCCCAGGTTGCTGCACTTGCCAGATCTGCATTTTTCCATCTTAGGCAGATCAGGCTACTGAAGCCCTATCTCCCCCCCCCCCCCCCAACACAATGGTCACTTCCGGGCTTGACTACTGCAATTCACTCTACCCCTGAGGCAGATCCAGAAATTACAGCTGGTACAAAATGCGGTGGTGCACCTGCTGACATCGACGCCTGTGCGGGCTCATGTTTGGCATGTGCTTTGCCAGCTGCACTGGTTACCAGTGAGTACCGGATTTGCTTCAAGGTGTTGGTAATAACCTTCAAAGCCTTATACAGCCTGGGACCAACATACCTAAGGGACCACCTCGAAGAGCTTTACACTCTAACAACATCTCCTGGTGGTCCGTCTAGCCTCAGCCAGGGCCAGGGCCTTCTCTGCCCTGGCCCCCACCTGGTGGAACATGCTCCCCATCAAGATCAGGGCCCTACAAGATCTTACTCAGTTCTGCAGGGCCTGCAAGATGGAGCTGTTCCGCCAGGCTTTTGGTTGAGGCAGCAGGAGTCCACATATGGCCTCCCCGAGGTTGCCGTCTCCTACCTGCCATCCATCCATCTATTGGCAACCGGCCATATCCGTCTGTATTAATGGGTTGGAACTTTCACCAGTAGCTATAACTATTGATTTTAAATGTTTAAACTGTGCTTTTAAACTTTATTGTGTTGTTGAAAGATGATGTGACCCGCCCTGAGCCCGCTTTCGAGATGGGTGGGATACAAATATGAAAAATAAATAAAAATATATTTATCCAATCCCCTCTTGAAGCTGTCTATGCCTGTAGCCACCACCACTTATTGTGGCAGTGAATTCCATGTGATAATTACTCTTTGGGTGAAGAAGTACTTCCTTTTATCTGTTCTAAGCTTACTGCTCATTAATTCATTGAGTGCCCACAAGTTCTTGTACTGTGAGAAAAGGAGAAAAGTACTTCTTTCTCTGCCTTCTCTATCCCATGCATAATTTTGTAAACCTCTGTTGTCACCCCTCAGTCGTTGTTCTTCAAGCTAAAAAGCCCTAACCTCTTTAACATTTCTTCATAGGTAAGGTGTTCCATCCCTTTAATCATTTTAGTTGCCCTCTTCTGCACTTTTTCCAGTGCTATAATATCTTTTCTGAGGTGCGGTTTCCAGAATGTACATAATATTCCAAATGAGGCTGCACCACAGATTTATACATATACAATGTTTGTATTTTTGGCTCCAGTGTGCATTACTTTGCATTACTTTGCATTACTTTGCACTTGCCCACATTGAACCTCATTTGCAACATCGATACCTACTCACCTAGCCTCAACAGATCCCTCTTGAGTGCCTCACAGTCCTCTCTGGTTCTCACTGCACTGAACAACTTAGTGTCATTTGCAAACGTAGCTCCAAATCATTAACAAACAAGTTAAAAAGCACCAGACCTAGAACTGAGCCCTGTGGTACCTCACGGCTTACTACCTTCCACTGTGAAAACTGCCCATTTATACTCACTCTCTGTTTCCTGTTTCCTGTTCTCCAAACTCCTCATCAATCCAGTTGTCCACCTCTGGACGCAGGGGGTCCACGTGCATCCCTACTTGGATGACCTGATGGTGAGGGGCAAAGATCTGAATTCAGCAATCCAGAACACCAAAAAGACACTGCAGTGCCTGCAAGAGCATGGGTTCGTGGTCAACTTCCCCAAGAGCTGTCTCACGCCGGCACGCCAGATCGAACATCTGGGAGTTGTAATAGACACAACGTGCAACTCTCTCTTCCTGCCGGTGGACAAAGCCACCAAGATTCAAGACATGGCAGGCTCTGTGATACGGGGCTCATCGACCACTTTGATGTCCCTGGCCAAGCTCCTGGGTCTGATGATTTCTTGTACAGACCTAGCCCAATGGGCTCATCTCCACTCCAGGGAGCTACAGTGGTTTC